ATGCTCATTCATATGTACTTGCTAGTAGCACATAAGGGGAGGGTGGAGGGAAGGGTAAGAGGTTGAGTTCTGTAGGGGTGTGGGGTAGGGTGAAGTGGAGTGCAAAGGGCAGGAGAGAAATATTGAAGGGCAGGATAGAGTATGACATGCAAAGGGCAGGAGAGAGATATACGACGAACTTCACAGAAATCTAAATCCTCACGACTGGAACAGACTACTCTAGAATAACACATGAGGTCAGTTAGTGTTTGGGTTGCATAAGATTTTGAGTTGAGGAGCAGCTATTGCCTATGGTAAGTGGCCACCCCTACAGACCGGACAGGACTGGTTCGGGTGTGGACTTTCCAAGCACCCCACCCAATTTTCGTAGTCGCAGTAGCTGTATCGAATGGCGTGGCACAGACATATGTCACAGGCTACTCGGCGCCTACATTTTAGGAACATGGAGACACGCCGACTGCAATTATAGAGGCATTGCCGTTCCAGCCCTTGTCTAAAAACTGGACATGACATGTCAGGGTGCTGTAAATGAGTACCGTACTGACTGTCGTGGTACGTATCCCTTCATAATCCTCACGGCACAGGGCATGCGAACCATATCGCAGTCGAATCTCCGGCAGGTCATCACAAAGCGGCATGGAGCATCTTTCTTTGGTTTCCTCAGTATTTATTCCTTCTCTATGGGCAGACGACGACGGGGAGGGTTGGTCCAAACAAGTGTGTTTAGCTGCTGCAGGATTTGGTCTGCAAGAGCTCGCCCTGGTGGTGATAAACTATCAGCACAGCCCTCTGCAGGTGGCTCGTATGTAAGCCTATTTTCCTCCCCGGGCTGCTGTGTCGGTCGTTCGTCTGGTAAGGAAGAAGGAGATCCGTCCGCGGTTGCTGTAGGTGTATGACCAACACCGCATGTGGGACACATGCTAGGAGAGGATGTGGCGGATGATGGCACCGGGGATAGTCCACACAGTACAGATACAAACATTCTATGACAGATTCCTGGAATATTGATGACACATGGCATGTTGCTGACATGT